ATGTCAATCTTGATACAATCCTGATATAATCAAGATATATATAAGATATAATCAAGATATAGATGGATAGGGTATGGTTTTCTCATGAAATTCTTACAGGACAGCACTTGCTACACTCAAAGAATGAGCAGGTGATTGTCGTGATGGAAGAAAACTCCATGATGCAACTTTCCTGGCCTTTTTCACCAGCGCAGTTTTCAATTTTCTTAAAACTTTTCCTAATAAGACCCTGTGATCGTCCAGTGTCCTTCCAGAACATCTGTCAAGATTATGCCTTTGAAGTACCAAAAAACATTTATCATGATAACCTTCTTAGCTGACCTCTCTGTTTTAGGCTCAGCAGATCCTCTCCAAAGCCAATGCTTTGATTAGACATTTTTTTGAGGCAGCCTAAAGAGACTAAGACGAGAGAAATTGTCTAGAGATAGCCACTGATCACAAAGATATGCTTAAACACATTTTCTCTGGAATAAACCTGTGCATGTATGAACTGAAACTGTAGCAATACTTTTTGACTCAATTCATCCAGACTGTAGCCCTGAACTTGCCCCTTCAGACTTCTTTTTCTTCTTCATTTAAAAGGAACATGACTTGAATCCCTCGAGATGCCAAAGCTGTCATTTTGATGTGTAAATTAAAGAGCACAGAATTCTTCAGGAAAGGGTTGTTGCTATTGTTGTGGTGGTGGTTCTGACTCATAGAGTCGGTTCTGACTCATAAAGACCCTGTAGAGGGTTTCTAAGGAGCAGTTGGTGAGTTTGAACCACCAAGCTTGCAGTTCAAACTGACCTTGGTCTAGTGCTTATCCTACAGTGTCACCAGGGAAGAGTTAGAGAAATGAAAACACTGTCTTCAGAAGTGTATAGACCTAGATAGATGGCAGATATGTTGAGAAACAATAACTTCACATTGTTAATTTTTAAAATAAAGATTTCTATTATGTTGCTGTTGTTATTAACTGCTGTTGAATCAGCGACCCTGTAAAATCTTTGAGGGAGCAGAAAGTTGCATCTTTCTCCCACGAAGCAGCTGGTGGGCTAGAACCATGGACCTTGTCATTTGAAGTCCAATATTTATCATATGGAGTTACCGCGCTGCCTCATAATTTTGTAGCCATACATTTTATTTGCCCTCACATATGATAATTGGGAGTCCTAGTGTGGCACTGTAGGACAAGCACTGGACTGTAAACTGCAACCCAACAGCTGCTTCTTGGAAACCTTACGTATACACTGGAGTCCAAACTGACTAGACAGCACATTAACAACAACATAAGACAATTGGCAGAGCAATTTTCATTTTTAAACCAAACTATTTCTCAAAATAGATCCCCAAATGATTACAGGTCATTTGTTTTTAGAGACCCTTGTCCTATATGGGTCTTCCAAGGTCTTATATGACATGAGATGTTTTTCTGTGCTGGCACCATGGACCTGGGTTTGTCTCCAAGGAAACACTGCAGCCCCTTCACTGCCCATTCACTAAGACTTCCTCGATAGTCCCCCTCCACCCTCCACCCCCAACAGGAATAGGTAGGATGGGTGGGCTGCGGGGTGGAGTTGGGGTCAGATCTCATGAGGGATAAAAGGGAAACTGCTCAGAACAATCAAGGAAA